CTGGAAATTTCACCTTCAAAAACTGAAAATGGGACAGAGATTTGGAATATATGATTTTACAATTTTATACGGGATTTTGACTTCCAGTACCCCAATTTGGTTTCATACCATCATCAATTAACTGAATAATTGGTTTGTGGGCAAAAATGTCATCTAATCTGTCAAATTTGTGTTCAGAAAATTTCATATTTGAAAATGGGACAGACTTTTGAAAATACAACTTTTCGTTTTCTTAAGCTTTCTGCTGTGGGCTTCCTCCGACCGATATCAAACTTCCAGCACCTCAATCGTGTCATATGCCATCTATAGTTGACTTACTAATTGGTTGCAGGTAAGAAATTCAGTAAAAACTGTAATATTTCGGTCCTGGAAATTTCATCTTCAAAAACTGAAAATGGGACAGAGATTTGGAATATATGATTTTACAATTTTATTCGGGATTTTGACTTCCAGTACCCCAATTTGGTTTCATAACATCATCAATTAACTGACTAATTGGTTTGTGGGCAAAAATGTCATCTAATCTGTCAAATTTGTGTTAAGAAAATTTCATATTTGAAAATGGGACAGACTTTTGAAAATACAACTTTTCGTTTTCTTAAGCTTTCTGCTGTGGGCTTCCTCCGACCGATATCAAACTTCCAGCACCTCAATCGTGTCATATGCCATCTATAGTTGACTTACTAATTGGTTGCAGGTGAGAAATTCAGTAAAAACTGTAAAATTTCGGTCCTGGAAATTTCACCTTCAAAAACTGAAAATGGGACAGAGATTTGGAATATATGATTTTACAATTTTATACGGGATTTTGACTTCCAGTACCCCAATTTGGTTTCATACCATCATCAATTAACTGAATAATTGGTTTGTGGGCAAAAATGTCATCTAATCTGTCAAATTTGTGTTCAGAAAATGTCATATTTGAAAATGGGACAGACTTTTTAAAATACAACTTTTCGTTTTCTTAAGCTTTCTGCTGTGGGCTTCCTCCGACCGATATCAAACTTCCAGCACCTCAATCGTGTCATATGCCATCTATAGTTGACTTACTAATTGGTTGCAGGTAAGAAATTCAGTAAAAACTGTAAACTTTCGGTCCTGGAAATTTCATCTTCAAAAACTGAAAATGGGACAGAGATTTGGAATATATGATTTTACAATTTTATTCGGGATTTTGACTTCCAGTACCCCAATTTGGTTTCATAACATCATCAATTAACTGACTAATTGGTTTGTGGGCAAAAATGTCATGTAATCTGTCAAATTTGTGTTCAGAAAATTTCATATTTGAAAATGGGACAGACTTTTGAAAATACAACTTTTCGTTTTCTTAAGCTTTCTGCTGTGGGCTTCCTCCGACCGATATCAAACTTCCAGCACCTCAATCGTGTCATATGCCATCTATAGTTGACTTACTAATTGGTTGCAGGTGAGAAATTCAGTAAAAACTGTAAAATTTCGGTCCTGGAAATTTCACCTTCAAAAACTGAAAATGGGACAGAGATTTGGAATATATGATTTTACAATTTTATACGGGATTTTGACTTCCAGTACCCCAATTTGGTTTCATACCATCATCAATTAACTGAATAATTGGTTTGTGGGCAAAAATGTCATCTAATCTGTCAAATTTGTGTTCAGAAAATGTCATATTTGAAAATGGGACAGACTTTTTAAAATACAACTTTTCGTTTTCTTAAGCTTTCTGCTGTGGGCTTCCTCCGACCGATATCAAACTTCCAGCACCTCAATCGTGTCATATGCCATCTATAGTTGACTTACTAATTGGTTGCAGGTAAGAAATTCAGTAAAAACTGTAAACTTTCGGTCCTGGAAATTTCATCTTCAAAAACTGAAAATGGGACAGAGATTTGGAATATATGATTTTACAATTTTATTCGGGATTTTGACTTCCAGTACCCCAATTTGGTTTCATAACATCATCAATTAACTGACTAATTGGTTTGTGGGCAAAAATGTCATGTAATCTGTCAAATTTGTGTTCAGAAAATTTCATATTTGAAAATGGGACAGACTTTTGAAAATACAACTTTTCGTTTTCTTAAGCTTTCTGCTGTGGGCTTCCTCTGACCGATATCAAACTTCCAGCACCTCAATCGTGTCATATGCCATCTATAGTTGACTTACTAATTGGTTGCAGATGAGAAATTCAGTAAAAACTGTAAAATTTCGGTCCTGGAAATTTCATCTTCAAAAACTGAAAATGGGACAGAGATTTGGAATATATGATTTTACAATTTTATTCGGGATTTTGACTTCCAGTACCCCAATTTGGTTTCATAACATCATCAATTAACTGACTAATTGGTTTGTGGGCAAAAATGTCATCTAATCTGTCAAATTTGTGTTCAGAAAATTTCATATTTGAAAATGGGACAGACTTTTGAAAATACAACTTTTCGTTTTCTTAAGCTTTCTGCTGTGGGCTTCCTCCGACCGATATCAAACTTCCAGCACCTCAATCGTGTCATATGCCATCTATAGTTGACTTACTAATTGGTTGCAGGTGAGAAATTCAGTAAAAACTGTAAAATTTCGGTCCTGGAAATTTCACCTTCAAAAACTGAAAATGGGACAGAGATTTGGAATATATGATTTTACAATTTTATACGGGATTTTGACTTCCAGTACCCCAATTTGGTTTCATACCATCATCAATTAACTGAATAATTGGTTTGTGGGCAAAAATGTCATCTAATCTGTCAAATTTGTGTTCAGAAAATGTCATATTTGAAAATGGGACAGACTTTTTAAAATACAACTTTTCGTTTTCTTAAGCTTTCTGCTGTGGGCTTCCTCCGACCGATATCAAACTTCCAGCACCTCAATCGTGTCATATGCCATCTATAGTTGACTTACTAATTGGTTGCAGGTAAGAAATTCAGTAAAAACTGTAAACTTTCGGTCCTGGAAATTTCATCTTCAAAAACTGAAAATGGGACAGAGATTTGGAATATATGATTTTACAATTTTATTCGGGATTTTGACTTCCAGTACCCCAATTTGGTTTCATAACATCATCAATTAACTGACTAATTGGTTTGTGGGCAAAAATGTCATCTAATCTGTCAAATTTGTGTTCAGAAAATTTCATATTTGAAAATGGGACAGACTTTTGAAAATACAACTTTTCGTTTTCTTAAGCTTTCTGCTGTGGGCTTCCTCCGACCGATATCAAACTTCCAGCACCTCAATCGTGTCATATGCCATCTATAGTTGACTTACTAATTGGTTGCAGGTGAGAAATTCAGTAAAAACTGTAAAATTTCGGTCCTGGAAATTTCACCTTCAAAAACTGAAAATGGGACAGAGATTTGGAATATATGATTTTACAATTTTATACGGGATTTTGACTTCCAGTACCCCAATTTGGTTTCATACCATCATCAATTAACTGAATAATTGGTTTGTGGGCAAAAATGTCATCTAATCTGTCAAATTTGTGTTCAGAAAATGTCATATTTGAAAATGGGACAGACTTTTTAAAATACAACTTTTCGTTTTCTTAAGCTTTCTGCTGTGGGCTTCCTCCGACCGATATCAAACTTCCAGCACCTCAATCGTGTCATATGCCATCTATAGTTGACTTACTAATTGGTTGCAGGTAAGAAATTCAGTAAAAACTGTAAACTTTCGGTCCTGGAAATTTCATCTTCAAAAACTGAAAATGGGACAGAGATTTGGAATATATGATTTTACAATTTTATTCGGGATTTTGACTTCCAGTACCCCAATTTGGTTTCATAACATCATCAATTAACTGACTAATTGGTTTGTGGGCAAAAATGTCATGTAATCTGTCAAATTTGTGTTCAGAAAATTTCATATTTGAAAATGGGACAGACTTTTGAAAATACAACTTTTCGTTTTCTTAAGCTTTCTGCTGTGGGCTTCCTCTGACCGATATCAAACTTCCAGCACCTCAATCGTGTCATATGCCATCTATAGTTGACTTACTAATTGGTTGCAGATGAGAAATTCAGTAAAAACTGTAAAATTTCGGTCCTGGAAATTTCATCTTCAAAAACTGAAAATGGGACAGAGATTTGGAATATATGATTTTACAATTTTATACGGGATTTTGACTTCCAGTACCCCAATTTGGTTTCATACCATCATCAATTAACTGACTAATTGGTTTGTGGGCAAAAATGTCATCTAATCTGTCAAATTTGTGTTCAGAAAATTTCATATTTAAAAATGGGACAGACATTCGAAAATACAACTTTTCGTTTTCTTAAGCTTTCTGCTGTGGGCTTCCTCCGACCGATATCAAACTTCCAGCACCTCAATCGTGTCATATGCCATCTATAGTTGACTTACTAATTGGTTGCAGGTGAGAAATTCAGTAAAAACTGTAAACTTTTGGTCCTGGAAATTTCATCTTCAAAAACTGAAAATGAGGCAAAGATTGGGACAGTATGATTTTGCAGTTTTATTCGGGATTTTGACTTCCAGTACCTCAATTTGGTATCATAACATCAGCAATTAACTGATCAATTGGTTTCTTGGCAAAAAGTTCGTCCAATCTGTCAAATTTGTGTTCAGAAAATTTCATGTTTGAAAATGGGACAGACATTTGAAAATACAACTTCCAGCACCTCGATCGTGTCATATACCATTTACAGTTTAAACTGACTTATTGGTTACCGGAGAGAAATTCAATCTAAACTGTGAAATTTCATCTTCAAAATATGAAAATGGGACAGAGAAAAGGACAATACGATTTTTCCATTTTGTCCCCGATTTCGATTTCCAGTACCTCAATTTGGTCTCATACGCCTAAGATAATATTTAGCTATTCCATTATCTGTAAACTCTAACATTTTTTTGGTGATAACAAAGAAAAAGTCTGTATTCACCACTTTCGTCACAAAGCCAATATTATGTATTTTGTAAATATCTGAAATTTAATGTCATCACATAGTCAACATATCCAAACCTGTGTCTCACTCTCATTGCCTTAAATATATAATATAGTCAAAATATTTGTGGGTCATAGGACTTCACTGAATTTGTGGCGTCATAAAAATTGTATGTATGAAAAAACTTTCAAATTTCATTCAATCCATTATATAATAGGTATGCAATTATCACGAAGAATTCTTATAAAGATATATTAAATATCAGATATGGTCATATTAACGGTCCAACTCAAAGAATTTTACCACATTGGTACCGGTTACTTAAAAGTAGAAATTGCCACTTTTAGGAGCATATTTTTTCAATAACTCTGCCTAACAGCAGAAATGGCTCTCCTTTAATCTGATGACTTCAGATAACTGTATTTAATACAGTAGTATCCAGATCATATATATTAAACAATAAAATAACTGGTAAGTTTCACAAATAACACGAAATTGCGCACTCAGACAGACTACGAGTTCTGGTCGGCTCACTATCACAGCTCTACATCATCTGATACATTCTTAATGTCAGGGTCTATTTTAGCTCGCTTTGCAGCTGGTTGTGATTCGTCGTCAGGAACCTCTACTACTGCCTCCTCGTTATCAGATACATTTTGTTCTTCTCCATCTTCTCCTTCTTTATCGTCATCCTGAAATCAGCAATCCCTTTCAGCGCGTAGTTGACAATGTAAGATTAATTAATATGAGACACAGGAATAACCTGAATTAGATTTAAATATGATTTTACAAAGAGTTGACAAAAGCACATGAATATAAACTTGATAATCGCTTACCTCCTCCTCCTCCTCCTCCTCCTCCTCCTCCTCCTCGCTATCTAAATCATCGTCCTCTCCCTCATCTAACTCGAAGTCTTCATCTGAATCAGGCTCTGCAGTACCCTCCCTATTTCATTATTTAGGTTTATTGACCCAACATTCGGATAGGAGCAAAACAGGCAAAATTGTAAACAAAAATGATCGAGCGCGGGTAAAACTTGCGCGCTAAAATGGCGCGAAAATTAAAAAATCAATTTTGAGTAGACCTTTTCTAAAGTCACCAGAAGACGTTTCCCTGAAATGTGTATGCGATTTTGTATGCGATTTGCGCGCCGCACGTACGTTAAAATAATTATATTTGTAGAATTTATGACGGTAACCCTTCAAAAGTCAAAATAAACTGCTCGTATATTTATAGACACTATGATATGAATAACTAAATAACACCTTGAACCCAACTTGGAACCACATCCAAGGGCTGCACCGACCCCAGAAAAGCTATAATTCAAGTCAAAAATCTTTACTCGGCCCTGTATGTGATTTGTGTTCCGGGGTAGTGGACAGATGTTTTAGTGGTTGAATAGCTAGTACCTATCCCAAACCATCATAAAAACCAAGTTTTGTTCTCTCAACCCACTCAGGCCACTCCCAGGGGCCACACATAACCCAAAATAGCTGAAATCCAGGTCAAATCCCATACATAAAAATCAAGACTAAGAATCTTTACCCCCGTATGCGATTTATGTTCCGGGGTAGGTGGCCCATGTTTTAGTATAAACCACTCTCAAACCACTCAGGCCACTCCCAGGAGCCACGCCCATCCCAAAATAGCTGAAATCCAGCTGAAATCCCATACAAATTCAGACTGAGAATCTTTACCCCCGTATGCGATTTATGTTCCGGGGTAGGTGGCCCATGTTTTAGTATAAAAATGGGTACTGCCTATCCCAAACCATCATAAAAACGAAGTTTCAACCTCTCAAACCACTCAGGCCACTCCCAGGGGCCACGCCCATCACAAAATAGCTGAAATCCTGGTCAAATCCCATACAAATTCAGACTGAGAATCTTTACCCCCGTATGCGATTTATGTTCCGGGGTAGGTGGCCCATGTTCTAGTATAAAAATGGGTACAACCTATCCCAAACCATCATAAAAACCAAGTTTCGACCTCTCAAACCACTCAGGCCACTCCCAGGAGCCACGCCCATCCCAAAATAGCTGAAATCCAGCTGAAATCCTAACAAATTCAGACTGAGAATCTTTACCCCCGTATGCGATTTATGTTCCGGGGTAGGTGGCCCATGTTCTAGTATAAAAATGGGTACTGCCTATCCCAAACCATCATAAAAATCAAGTTTCGACCTCTCAACCCACTCAGGCCACTCCCAGGAGCCACGCCCATCCCAAAATTACTGAAATCCAGCTAAAATCCTGACTTTAAAATCTTTACCCCCGTATGCGATTTATGTTCCAGGGTAGGTGGCCCATGTTTTACTATAAAAATGGGTACTACCTATCCCAAACCATCATAAAAACCAAGTTTCGACCTCTCAAACCACTCAGGCCACTCCCAGGGGCCACGCCCATCACAAAATAGCTGAAATCCTGGTCAAATCCCATACAAATTCAGACTGAGAATCTTTACCCCCGTATGCGATTTATGTTCCGGGGTAGGTGGCCCATGTTTTAGAATAAAAATGGGTACTACCTATCCCAAACCATCATAAAGACTAAGTTTCGACCTCTCAAACCACTCAGGCCACTCCCAGGAGCCACGCCCATCCCAAAATAGCTGAAATCCAGCTGAAATCCTAAACAAATTCAGACTGAGAATCTTTACCCCCGTATGCGATTTATGTTCCGGGGTAGGTGGCTCATGTTCTAGTATAAAAATGGGTACTGCCTATCCCAAACCATCATAAAAATCAAGTTTCGACCTCTCAACCCACTCAGGCCACTCCCAGGAGCCACGCCCATCCCAAAATTACTGAAATCCAGCTAAAATCCTGACTTTAAAATCTTTACCCCCGTATGCAATTTATGTTCCGGGGTAGGTGGCCCATATTTTGGTATAAAAATGGGTACAACCTATCCCAAACCATCATAAAAACCAAGTTTCGACCTCTCAAACCACTCAGGCCACTCCCAGGAGCCACGCCCATCCCAAAATAGCTGAAATCTAGCTGAAATCCCATACAAATTCAGACTGAGAATCTTTACCCCCGTATGCGATTTATGTTCCGGGGTAGGTGGCCCATGTTTTAGTATAAAAATGGGTACTACCTATCCCAAACCATCATAAAAACCAAGTTTCGACCTCTCAGACCACTCAGGCCACTTCCAGGGGCCACGCCCATCCCAAAATAGCTGAAATCCAGCTGAAATCCTAAACAAATTCAGACTGAGAATCTTTACCCCCGTATGCGATTTATGTTCCGGGGTAGGTGGCCCATGTTTTAGAATAAAAATGGGTACTACCTATCCCAATGATATGATGGTTTGGGATAGGCAGTACCCATTTTTATACTAAAACATGGGCCACCTACCCCGGAACATAAATCGCATACGGGGGTAAAGATTTTCAATCTTGATTTTACCAGGATTTCAGCTATTTTGGGATGGGCGTGGCCCCTGGGAGTGGCCTGAGTGGGTTGGGAGGTCGAAACTTGATTTTTATGATGGTTTGGGATAGGCAGTACCCATTTTATACTAAAACATGGGCCACCTACCCCGGAACATAAATCGCATACGGGGGTAAAGATTCTCAGTCTGGATTTGTATGGGATTTGACCTGGATTTCAGCTATTTTGGGATGGGCGTGGCCCCTGGGAGTGGCCTGAGTGGTTTGAGAGGTCGAAACTTGGTTTTTATGATGGTTTGGGATAGTCAGTACCCATTTTTATACTAAAACATGGCCCACCTACCCCGGAACATAAATCGCATACGGGGGTAAAGATTCTCAGTCTGGATTTGTATGGGATTTGACCTGGATTTCAGCTATTTTGGGATGGGCGTGGCCCCTGGGAGTGGCCTGAGTGGTTTGAGAGGTCGAAACTTGGTTTTTATGATGGTTTGGGATAGGCAGTACCCATTTTTATACTAAAACATGGGCCACCTACCCCGGAACATAAATCGCATACGGGGGGTAAAGATTTTCAATCTTGATTTTACCAGGATTTCAGCTATTTTGGGATGGGCGTGGCCCCTGGGAGTGGCCTGAGTGGGTTGGGAGGTCGAAACTTGATTTTTATGATGGTTTGGGACAGGTACTAACTATTTAAAACCCTAAACCTGTTCCAAATACCCCGGAACACAAATCGCATACAGGGGTGAAATCGCATACAAATCGCATACACAAATCAAGGAAACGTGCTCTCAAAGTCACGATATTGCCACGATATTGTCACAATATTGTCCACACCAGGAGATGTTTCCCCAAAATGTAAAGCAATGGTTTACTAAAATAATGCTTAATTTCATACAAAAATAGTCCTCAAAAGGGAATGCAACGCAATTTGTCCTTTACAATTATCCTTTAACAGGTCAGAAAAAATAATGTTATTATCTTTTCTTTTATTTTTGCTACAATCACGCCACAACATTTGTAAAAACATAACCTAACATTGTTAAGACCTTATTAATTATTTGAAGAAATTTAAATGTGTTAAGTAAAGTTTTAATACCTGTCAATTCCATCAAGGAAGGTAAGTTGTGGAATCGCTGAAAATACTTTATCTCGATATTTTTCAACTTCAGCAATCGGACATTCGATCAAATCCAAACTTGACAGATTACTCAGCAATTTCTGAAAGATTTTATTACATTAAATTGTACAACCAATTTTATAAAATGGATAGCTCTGAATCACAACTCAAACAAAGGTAACCGAGATAAAACACCACCAGCATTTGTTAAAAAGTTAACCCTAGTAGCAGTGTAAAGATAAACAAACCAGTGGTTCCAGCGTAGCAACATCTTTAATCCTATTATTACAGATTCTTGAGGGAGGTGAGGTTTGGGCAACTCTTCAAATACTCCAGATCCCCCGACAACTTATTATCACTAACCTCCAACTGTAATATCAGTGAGATATATCAAACTGGTACTTTCAGAGACAACAATAAAATAACAGTTAGCACACCGGTGTCCGGGCAATATTTTATTATTTGGCGATTTCAACATAGGTAGGTTAGATCTCCAAAGTTAATTCCAGGTTAACTATTTTAGCACTGTCAATGTTTATTGTTGGCTTAATTAACTCACTATGGTCGTATAACATATAATATTCTGCGTTCTAATTTCTATTATAATTAAACGTTCCCCTACTACCTACCGATCTTAGTTTGGGGTAAGCAGGGAATCCTTTAAGAGAAGTGAGACCTATGTTGATCATGCTGAGAACCTCTAACTCCTCGTATTTATCTGTTAGTCCTGTTAGCGTGCTGGCTCTACAGTTATCTAGAAACAACTCCTTTACCTGCAGAGTATTATCTGTTAGTCCTGTTAGCGTGCTGGCTCTACAGTTATCTAGAAACAACTCCTTTACCTGCAGAGTATTATCTGTTAGTCCTGTTAGCGTGCTGGCTCTACAGTTATCTAGAAACAGCTCCTTTACCTGCAGAGTATTATCTGTTAGTCCTGTTAGCGTGCTGGCTCTACAGTTATCTAGAAACAACTCCTTTACCTGCAGAGTATTATCTGTTAGTCCTGTTAGCGTGCTGGCTCTACAGTTATCTAGAAACAACTCCTTTACCTGCAGAGTATTATCTGTTAGTCCTGTTAGCGTGCTGGCTCTACAGTTATCTAGAAACAACTCCTTTACCTGCAGAGTATTATCTGTTAGTCCTGTTAGCGTGCTGGCTCTACAGTATCTAGAAACAGCTCCTTTACCTGCAGAGTATTATCTGTTAGTCCTGTTAGCGTGCTGGCCTCTACAGTTGTCTAGAAACAGCTCCTTTACCTGCAGAGTATTATCTGTTAGTCCTGTTAGCGTGCTGGCTCTACAGTTATCTAGAAACAACTCCTTTACTGCAGGAGTATTATCTGTTAGTCCTGTTAGCGTGCTGGCTCTACAGTTATCTAGAAACAGCTCCTTTACCTGCAGAGTATTATCTGTTAGTCCTGTTAGCGTGCTGGCTCTACAGTTATCTAGAAAAAAGCTCCTTTTTCCCTG